CCTGAAGTCTGGATTTTTTTATGTCAAATCTCCCAATTTTTAAACGTTGACAACCATTAAAACGTTTTTAAAAAACACAGGAGCAAACGAAATATCTGTAGTTTTCTCCTAAAATGCAAGGGTTGAGCTAAAGGAGCTCCAAGGTCTTATCCAGCTCTGATGATGACTAAGGTGCTTTAGGATTAATGGGTACTTTTTTAGGTGAAATGATCAAATCTAATTTTTCCATGTAAAACCAGCCCTTAAGAGGCAGCTTCCCTGGAGGTATAGCCAGAAAAGGCAACTGGTCTCACTGATGCTACTTATCTCTTTCTCTTTTCTTCCCCAAAGCAGATCACCTATATGCAATTTCTAAACACGTAAGACGTTTTCGATACCGCATATAGTGGTTCAGAGGCAGCACCTCCCAGGGAGCTTCTCCAGGGCAGAGCTGCATCCTGGTTTTATCGGCTCATTCCCAGGGACTGACAGGGCCCATCGTGAAGGCTCAGCATGTGTGCGGAAAGTTTTAAGTTCCCAGGAATATAGCTCTCAAGGTCCTACTTCAATAAGAATAATTGTGAGATATAAAATTCCACTATCGATATATATTAAATACTGGTGATCACACACACACAAACCCTTTAGATCATTAGCTATAGCCATCCAAAAATAATGTCGGATAAATATTATTTCTACATGTGGTGCATTTAAGACCTCTTCCCAGCAGCCGGCTCACATTTTTGGAGAGCGCTAGACTACACCGTAACTCAAAACCTATCTTTACCTCTCAGCAGATACATCCTCAACACAGAGCAACAGATTCCTGGGCCTTAAAAAAAAAAAAAGAGTTGACAGAGAGCTGAGTGCAAAAATAAAGATAATTTAAACGAGTCCTAAAGGCAGATGTGGAAAGGACTGGGTCCTCCAAATGCTCTTGTTTCCTTTGCATCCGGGGGCCTCACACATGGTCACATAGAAACTGAGGAAACTTCATGAAGGGCATGCTCCTCCACAGCACTGTGACAACTGGCCCACCTTACGGCTTGTAAGAGAGTTTTTCAACACTGTCTGGACCCAGTTTTGAGGCTCTGCTTAGAAGTCAGTCAGTCCCCTTCTCCAGCAGCCCAAGTCCACTCTCCCAACCCGCAGGCATGTGGGCTTCTCACACGCCAGAGCCCCGGGGCCCACTGACATAATGCAAACTGGCCAATCCTAAACCTGCTCACCCCGCCTTGTGTGGAAACCACAACAGAGGTGCCTGCCCTCGCCCTCCACTCTGCTTCCCCCGAGTGGCCCAGAGCGGGCATGACGTTTTCTCCCCGGGGAACGGTGAGTTACAAAACTAAAAACCTCTTCCCAGTTTCTCTCTCTTGATCTGCAACAGGCCTCACCATCCTTCACCCAAGGTAATTTGGTTAAAATGAGGCGGGACAAAGAGGCAATTCAAAGGTTGTCCTTGATTGCAAATGCCTGGTGGCTGCCGGCAGCTGATCACAACCTAAAAAAGCCTACATGCCTTCAAGGTCAGGAAGGGGTAACTCAACATGTGGGCTGGGTAAAAAACCGGTAGTTTCCTTGTATCAAAACACAAAGGTCACAGCCTAAGAAATCTGTCCTTTACATCCCTCAGAAGTACACTTTCCTGGCACGGGCTTCAGTCAGATACGTCCAGATGTGCTGATGTGCTCACAATGCCCTGGTTACCCCGAGTCTTCTGAGACTCAGCGGAAGTGGGGTGGGCGTGCAAAGGCCCCTCGGCTGCATGGAAAGCAGGACGTCTTGTAATAACCTGAAAGGGAGGGAGTACCCGCTCGTTTCCCAGGTAACAGATGGTAGCCATCTGGCCTCCATTAAATAGACATCACTGGAAAATCAAAATCAGAAGGTAAGGCCTTGGTGGTGGCAACGGAAACTCAGAGGCAAGGAAGGGTCTTACCTCGGTGGCATTTTCTTCAGGGACAGAGAAGCAGCAGGTACCTGGGCTGGCAGGGTTCTCCCTTGGCTGTGCTTGGGAGTTCTGATTCTCAAGCATTCGTTAACTGCTTTTGGTGCCTTTCCAGGGCAGATCAGAACACTGCAGGTTAATAAACCACTGCGCACACTGGGGCGGACAGCCTAGGTGAAGTATCTGTGTCAACACCACCCTTCATTACCGCCAAGTACCATTGACACAATTCACCATTTGGGACCTTGCAGAACCACTGGGCTTACCCTGCCCCTATACGATGATGCACTCAGTGGCAGGGAGGCCCTCTCTCCCTCCAGCCAGACCACCACGGGGCTGCTTACTGGAAGGCTTTCTCCGCTGGGCTGAGTTTTTCCTTCCCAAGTCCCTCTATGTGGCACGCACGAGTAACCTACAGGCACAAAGGCAGGCCTTTCTCTCTTGCCACGTCCCCTTGGAGTCCAGGAAGCCAAACACCCACTGTGCCAGCCTCCCTAGCAGCTACAGGCTGCCATGCAACCCAGTTCTAATCCATGGGAGGTCTGCGGGGGGCTCCTGATGAGAATTTTGCTTTCCTGATAAGGCGGGGCTGACCACCGCTGGCCGAGCCACCCTCCTCACCACAGACTTGAATGCAGATGAACAAAGATGCTCACACCGATGATGGCTCTATACAAATGCACATATAGGGCTTCCCTGGTGGCGCAGTGGTTGGGAGTCCGCCTGCCGCTGCAGGGGACGCGGGTTCGTGCCCCGATCTGGGAGGATCCCACGTGCCGCGGAGCGGCTGGGCCCGTGGGCCATGGCCGCTGGGTCTGTGCGTCCAGAGCCTGTGCTCTGTGGCGGGAAAGGCCACGGTGGTGAGAGGCCCACGTACCGCAAAAAAAAAAAAAAAAAGCACATATACACTCCTAGGTAAGGGTCAGAAGAATAAAGATTAACATGTAGGTGGTTATTAGTTCCATACAGGTGTGTGTAGGTCTGTGCATTCATACCAGCACCCACTGGGGAAGACTTTTTTTTTTTAAGTTAAAATGATGCATACTTTAAACCTCGCAAAAAAATACGCTGTGAATTTGGACCCATTATTCAGAATTAGGCCATTTTAGGTGTATTGCTTTCCATGTGGTTCAACTTATGAGCATCCATGGAAAACAAAATAGAGGAATTGCTCCCACCCTTATTCCTGTGTCGTCCCCTCTTCCAGGTGTCGGGCCAGTGTGGATGGAAATGGAAGGAATCAAGGCTTATATGCGTTTCTTCAGGCACAGAAGGACAGCTGCATTCGGAGGCAACACAGCAGGACAAAGTTTATGGTTAAGTTGGTACACGTGCCATAAAAGTTTCCATATAAATGTTTTAATCATACTGAGACTAGAAATCATAAAATTCATCCATAAAGCATCTCTGCTGACAGCTTATAATGAGGATCTACCACACACCCAGGGAAAGATGGAAGGTAGACAAAAGGAGGTGCCTCCCCAGCCTCACAAACACCGTGGAGCTGAGAAACTGAGGCTGAGGGACCCTCTCTCACACACACACTTGGCATTTATCAAAATGAACAGAAACAATTAACACTGACTTAAAAATACGTCCCCCCAAAAATTTTTTAATGAACCGTCAGTTTTCCCCTTTGCTTTTGCCCTTGTTGCAGTGGCTCTCCAGGAGCAGAGAAAATGGGGAAGGATTCAGAGAGTTCGAGGTGCTGGGTCACAACTCAGAACGTAAGGAACCTTCTCAGGGTAAAACACAACAGGACACTGCAGGAGACTGTTTCGTTTTGCCTGCCTCATTCAACTCTAACCAAGGACATTTGATATTAAATCACACGTTTCGTGTATTTTTCCTTCATCCAAGGGAAAGAAAAGGAGGTCTTTCTTTTTCCTTATATGAACACGGAGTTGTAGAGTTACAGGCATAGATGCAGAAGGGGGAACAGAACCTTGATCAGTCATGATGTGCCCCAGTGCCTGGCCACGGTCCTTGCTCGACTTCACCCTAGAGGAAGTGATTTTTTTAGGCAAACACTCAACCTCTTTGAGACTCAGATTTTTCAACTGCAAAATGAAGATAATATTGAACTATATTAAATTTTTCATTTGGTAAGTCAAAACTGTTGATAAGAGCTATGTCATATGGTCCAACCTAATAATTCCTGCCCTGCCTATTCACAGATTTTATGGAATCAAATAAAATTATTTATAGGAAGTTGCACAAAAATACTCGAACTCTGAAAAGAGCATTAACTTTATGAACTGGAACGGTAATCAGTGCTTCAAACACCACACACGCACCACTTTGTAAAAAATGAAATTACGGAGGTAGCTTTCAGCATCCTTCTTTAAAATGCAAATTCTGGGCCCACCCCAGACCTACCAAGTCAGAAACAGGAGGACCTGGTGAGGAATGTGCGCTTCCTACAGGAACTCCCAGTGATAAGCCAAGTCGGTGACAATATTTTTCCCAGGAAATAACTGGCCTCTTCGGTTTTGAGGGGCTTTCTGTTCAAATGCAGGCCTTACCCAAGCCCACTTGGTGTGCACCTTTCCTCACCAAATAAAGGAGATTATAAAGAACCTAGTGTGCAGAATATTCTTTTCTTAATAACTGGGAAGAGGGCTTCCCTGGTGGTGCAGTGGTTGAGAGTCCGCCTGCCGATGCAGGGGACACGGGTTCGTGCCCTGGTCCGGGAAGATCCCACATGCCGCGGAGTGGCTGGGCCCGTGAGCCATGGCCGCTGAGTCTGCGTGTCCGGAGCCTGTGCTCCGCAATGGGAGAGGCCACAACAGTGAGAGGCCCGCATACCACCAAACAAATAAAAATAAAAATAAAAATTTTTAAAAATAACTGGGAAGAGACTACAAGTAAAGTCAGTAAAATGAACTCAGTCAGTGATTAGTTACGAGGAATCGATAAAACCTGAAGGGGTCTTCTTTTGCTACAGGATGTCTTCATCCCCTTACTCCGTAACCAGATCTCTCAAAAAGCTCTCAGTATCGAAGTTCCTGGAGGTGACCCCAGACCCTCCTTGCAGCAGGGGCTGGGCCACCCCATGCCCGGCGTCACTTACCCCTCAGAATGTAGTTCTGATAGTTCTGATCTGCCTCAGCTCCCACCTTGATCAAACACGTCAGACCTTCAGCCACTACAAATTCATGCACCAAATCCTTGTCATCCTGGCAGGAAACAGGGAAAGAGAGAGAGAGAGAAAAAAAAAAAAGACTTCAAATACTGTCCCGGTCCATCCTCCATCCAGGCTGTTCTGTGAAAACTATGTACAAGCCTCTGACGCCAGACCGCGACCTCTGAAGATTGCTCTGCTCTATTCAAATGAGGCATCTTAACTGTTGCCAGAGGAATTTTACAGCCAGTCTTCACATCGTTGTTTGCCAAAGACCAATTATTGCCTTCTGGGCAATCTAATAAAGATAAGGCAAATGAATCCCCCGACTGTCAGGAATACTTAGAGTGATCTGTTTTTCATTCTTTAGAAATCACCAGGCTCCGTATCCCCACAGGTCCCAAGGGACCAGCCACATGAAGCCTGCTGGGTTTCAACACAGGAAACACTGGGCTGCAACACAGACCATCGTGTAAAGGATTCAAAGCAACTCGTGTGTTTCTAAAGACGGTTATGAGCATCTTGCAAATGGTATCTGAGAAAGTAGGGGAGCAGTTTCTCCACCTCCCAAGTTGTGCAGCTTGCAGGACAAGCAAGGAGGCAGAGCACAGAACCGGCCGTGTGTCTGGAGCAGCTACACTGTCGCTCAAAGGAGCCACGGCAGTCAGTCTGATGACCGGATCACAGAAGGCAAGACCTGGAAGGAATCGCAGGAGTCATCTAACCTGGTGGTTCTCAAAGAGAGGTCTCCAGACCCACAAGCACCTAAGCATCACCTGCAAACTTGTTAGAAGTGCAAAATACCCAGCCCCACCCTGACTTACTGGATAGGAAATGCCACTGTGGAGCCCAGCAACGTGTGATTAAAAAGCCCTGCAGGGGATTCAGAGGTGCTCAGATCCTTCTCACCTCTGACTCCCTCACATCAGGATCATCTGCAGAACTTAAAAAAGGAACAGGAAGCAGGTCCCTGCCCAGATGGGTTTAATCTGAATTTGTGGGGTGGGGCCCAGGCTCTGCTATTAAATTCCCAAGGAAATCCTAAAGGGCAGCCAGTTCAAGAACCACTGATCTAATCCTACCTTCCCTTTACAGATGAAGACGCAAGAGGGGCAAAACTTTGGCCAAGATGACCTAACCATGGTCCAGCCAGCCCCCAAATCCAGTCCTTTGCCTGGAGTACCAAGTTCCATGGAGCTCTATAAGAGGGATTTTTCCACTACTGTTTCAGGAGATTTCCTCAGTTGGACACTGCCTTGTCTCAAACACAGCTAGGATACATTCATCTTCAATTATAACAACAGAGCAAAAATAAAAAACCTCAGTGATGTAAACAGTAGAAAGCTTAATGGAATAATGAAAGGTTATTATTATAGGAATGGTCAGCAACCATGGTTTACCTCCAAGAAAGAAAAAATAATTTAGACAAACTGGTATAATTCTCCCATCTCCACATTGAAATCAGCCCCTCATTTTAATTTTATGGCATTTTCCAATTATATGGAAGGAGGACGTGAGCTAACGGGGAGGTGGGGAGAGGGAAGCAGGGGGCAGGCCAGGCAAATGCTCCCTTTGAACCAAGAACACACTCAACATTCAGAGGGCACTGGGGGGAGGGGGGAGCACTGCTGTGCCCCGAAGGTAATGAAAGACAGCTGTGTTAACTCAGACTTTAAGATAATCATGGCGTTGGAAGCAAGAGAAAATGGGACAATATTATGAATTTTTGGAAAATTACTTTACACTCATATGTATAAAGGAAATAAAAATAATTCTCCCTCCATCCATATTCTTTTCCACCAGCATATGTGAGAAGTGAACATTTAGATGAGCTCATGTCTAGTCAGAAAGTTTTTCCAAGCATGTAACAAATGTTTATTACTTTAAAACTAGATTCACACATGACTTCATGGTGAAAAAGTGAGAACAAGCTCTCAAGAAACCACTCAAGCTAATCACTAATATTAATATAGAAGAGAGCTGACTGTCTGGAAAAGGCACTTGGAAAAAAACACTGAACAGTGTTTATAAAAATAATTCAGAACCCTAACTAACATTTATGCACATGTGTAGATAAGGCACTTAGAAAATAAAAGTGTACGAATGATTAATGTAGAAATTATCTTCCAAATTGGCAACGCAGAAGATTTTGAACACACATCTTGAAGTACACAGGCATTAATAAATGATTTTTAAAACACTGGTTTCTAACTGGAGTGAAGTCAACATGCTAACACTGATATGAGATTATCCTTGAATTTCAGAATTCTTTATAATAGCCATATTTTAACCTGTGATCATTTTTTAAAAATGCCTATTAGTCAAGGAATATTCAACTCAATCCAAATGACCAATGGTTCTGTTTTTACACCCTTACACTGTAGTTCCAAAAAGAACCTCCACATCCAGAAAACATAAGACATGATGGAGGTGCAGACCGGTGGGTGTGGGAAAAGGCGATCTAAGCCCCAGACAGCCTGCAGCCTGTGGAATCCACCCAATACCCAAAGCAACCCTGCCCTGTGTGTTAGAGCTGTTTTGTGCACAGGTCTGTGGTCTTCCAAACAGATTAAACTTTTGGTAGCAAATGGCTTCTTCCTTGCCTACATAATGCCAACAAAGGCTGCTCAAGAATATTTGTTTGCTGAATAAGTGGTAGAAACAGCATCCCTGAGAATTCAGAGAGACAACACTACAGAACAAGCATGGTGAGGGGATGTGAAACAAGACCGACGTGTTTATCTTTTAACTTTGTCACCATGGAAAACTTGAAACATATACAAAAGAAGACAGAATAATTTAGTGAACCCCAGGTGCCAATCAACTCATATCAATCCTGTTCCATCTATCACCCTACCCTGTCTGCTGCCACATTAGTTTGAAGCAAATCCCAGACATCATATCATTTAACCCATAAATATTCCAATATGTACCTCCAAAGGACAGAAAGTCTTTTCAAAATTATGTACTCATAATAAAAAATTAATACTTTCTTAATATTATCAAATGTCCAGTCGGTGACCAATTCCAACTGTCTCAAAAATAGTGTTTTAAATTTTGTAGTAGGATCCAAATAGGAGCCACATGTGGCAATTAGCTGATATAACTTTTAAATGTCTTTTAATTCATCTCTTGTTTTCCCTTGAAATTTGTGTGTTGGAGAAACTAGATCATTTGCCCTACAGAGTAGTCTACATTCTGGATTTTGCCGATTACACACCTGCTGTGTGGTTTAACATGTGCCTCTGTCCTAGATCATTTGTAAATTGGTTACTGCATAGAAAGGCAGGATCAGATCCAGAGTTGATTTTGTTGGCTTGACCACATGCTCAATGGCAGTGCAAGTTTCCATGAGAAGGCATGTAATATCCTGATTGTATCTCACTTCCATGATGTCAGCAGATCCGGATGCTTGATACCTAGATCCATTACTTCATTCAGGGTTGCAAAATTCTGACATTCTCATTGATACTCTAATTATATCACTCCTTCTTACTTGCTAGCTAGAATATTTTTAAAAGCGAAACTCCCTCTCAACTGAACTTTTGATTATCCTAAAGTTCATTCAGGAAAAAGTAAGATAAATGTCTGATTCTAAAATTTTACACAGTTTTCAAAATAACGTGCTGGTTCACCACCATCTTCCTTCCACTGGTGACCAATTCACTGTCATTCTTTAGTATTATTATGAACTCATCAATGCAGATTAACCTGATGTGTTTTAATCCACTGTCATTATCATCCTTATTGATGCTTAACTGTCCGTCTTCAGCCAGCCAGTGGGAGACCCTTCAATGTGCTCCCGAGTCCCTTTGGCAATAATCTTAGTAGTATTTGATAGCTACCTTGCTATCTGCATAATAATATGTACCAGGTTTATTTTACTATTTATTTTATTCTGGTTTCCTATGCCAGACTTGCAGTCAGCTATTTCTCCAAGGAGCTCTGGTCCCTTTCTGTATTTTAAGACCGCAATCTCGGTGCTAGTGGTGCTTTTTGCTCGTGGGTTCGTCATTGCTTCTAGTCGTCTTCAATAAACTTAGTGCTAGAAATATGCTTTGCTGCAAGTTTGTTAAGATAATAAACACCCTGGGTTCATTCCGAGACTTCCAATTAAATTCAGGAACCCAGAGTTTTTTAACCTAACCCTTCTATCTTTCTATCCACTTTCTTCCACACACCAAGAATCCAAATCCTTAAGAACTCTAAGAATGACAAAATTAGAACACACACACACACAATTATCAGAAGAGCAATACCAACACTACCACCAGCAATATGATTACTATAAACAGTTGATTTTCGCGTGTGTGTGGTTCTCTTTCTTCTTAGAGTGTATCCTACTCAGGGTACACAAACTGCAGTGTTTTAAAGCCACTCGGAACGACTCTTCTCCGTGTGGTTCCGCCACCAACTCAATGAGGTGAACACAGGTTTCAAAAGAAGTCAAAGCTGAACAACGGGGCTTCCCTGGTGGTGCAGTGGTTGAGAGTCTGCCTGCCGATGCAGGGGACATGGGTTCGTGCCCTGGTCCGGGAGGATCCCACATGCCGCGGAGCGGCTGGGCCCATGAGCCATGGCCGCTGAGCCTGCGCGTCCGGAGCCTGTGCTCCGCAACGGGAGAGGCCACAACAGTGAGAGGCCCGTGTACAGAAAAAAAAAAAAAGAAAGGTGAACAACGGAAGCAGCAGGCAGGCTGAGGGGCTGCACGAGCTGGCGTGAGGAGTGGCAGGAGTGTGGTCCTCCGTTGGCACGGTGAGAGCCCAGCCCAAGTGCAGTCAGGGATCTGAGTTCGAGAGGAGGAGGTTTATGGAGGGTGAAGAAGTTCTGTTTTGTTCAGCTAAGAAGCAGGGAGACACAGATGGATACGTGGGAAGTGAAGCTTTGGGGCAAGTAATTAGCGAAGCATTTACTTAATTAGAGCCAGGAAAGACTGAAGACAGACACCTGTGAGAGGAGTATTCAGTTCGCCCAATTCATTCATCTATTGCTTCAGTGGCACTGGCCACAGCGTGAGGCCCCAAAGGCCCAGTGATGGAATCCAGGGAGCTCACAGATGACCAGACTCAGGCACGCACCCTGTGGTATCTTAAATTCCATTCCAGGGATGAGCACAGAGAACTTTATAGAGGAGAACCCTTGACTTCAGTGAGGGCTCATCTGGAGGATCTCCCTGGCAGGAGGAGACACCAGATGGGAGACAGAGACATGGGGAGTGGATGTGGGGCAACAACGCATCCTGAGGTAGAAGCAATAGGTCCAGGGGCAAAGGTGCAGAGGAGACTTGCCCCCAGAACACAATCACAGGGGAGACAGCTGCAGCCAAGGACAGGGAGGTGGGCCGCAGAGGCCAGGTCCAGAAGGGCCTCAACGTTATACTGAGAGATTCAGACGTAACTCAGACGGCTACAAGGAACCAGCAATGAGAAGGACTTAGTCAGTCCCTCTGGTGGGAAGCTAGAGGATGGACCAAGCAGCAGGTGGTGCCCATGACATCTGTTACAATTTTTCCAGAAGAAACGGCCTGAATCAAGGCCAACCCCAAACCCCAAGGCACTTCTGAGACATGCGGCATGAGGCAGCAGTGGTGACTCAGGGTCACACCTGTAGCTGTGGGAAGATGAGAAATGAGGACTCATCTACAGAAACTCTGTCACTGAGAAGGGCTCTGCTCTGGGAAAAAGATGAGGGCATGCATGGTTGAACAAGTTTAAAAATGGGACAAGAACGTGCAGGTGGGATGGATTGTTGGCCTGCCTTTCTGCCAATCCCCCCTCAGACAGGAAGGCACCCATGAAGGGGACAGCCACTCGGCTAGAACTACCACAGACGGAAAATCCTTTAAGTATGTGAAGGAGACGGGAACTGAAGAGATGTGGACCGCACCCTAGAGTCTAAAATCATGCCAGAAAGAACGATGAACCTACGGAGACACAAGCTCAATGCAAGCTCCATCTTCCCCACGAAGCCTCATCCTGCTTCTGTTGACCCCGCCCTGCCTGGCACAGCGGCCTCACCCTCCTCCCCTGACTCTCTGTCCCTCTTCCCTGTGGGTGACAGCCTGGAGTTTGCCTGCGCTCCTGTCCTAGCCCTCTTTGCTAAGCTTGTGACTTGCCCAGGGGAGAAGCAGAGGGAAGGTTTAGGAGAGAAGGATAAGCCAGAACCCGACAAAGATGCTTGCACACGTGCACAAGGGGGCTTGTCCCTAACGGCACGGTTTGTAACAGCAGAACCCTGGAAACGAACCCAACTGTCTGCCAATAGAAGATGAATAAGGCAAATTTGTGCTTCCTCCATACAATGGTTACTCACTCAGTTAACTCGGTCACGCCCACACCTATCCCGCTCTCACTAAGTAAGCCGCAGCATGATACACACAGCATGATAACACGCATATACAGTTCATAGAAAAGAATATCACATATTGTTGGTGAATATTCACCATTAGCATGGAAACGTGCGTTTGCATGATAAACACTATATGTGACATTCAGTAGAGAGGGGACCCGGGGTGGAGTAGGAAGACAGTGGTTGATATTGAGCAGAACGCAAGACTTCAGTTACATCCGTAGTAGGAGTTTTTTTTTAAATCTGAAGTAAATATGGAAAAATATTGTGATTTGATAACTTTTTTTACTTATTATGCTTGAAATATTTGGTATGGTAAAAATACTCAACTGACATTTTGACAGAATTTACATTGTACTCTAAAGAGACTTCTCTTTTTGTAACCAGTAAAAGGTATAAACTTGTCTGCATCTAATTCCACAAGCAATGCAAAAACAGAACCTGAGAGTACTTTTTTCTTTTTTTTTACCTGAAATACCTGCTTCAGGGAGAAAAGGGCCCTTCTTAAATCTCGTCCACCGGAGTTGTACAGCTTTTCTGAAATAAAGAATACAACATATACAATTAATTGAACTGACTCGACAGATGGCAAAAACACAGAGAGGATATGAACAACTAATGAATTTCCACTGGAAAGGTGAGTAAAACAAATTCATTTCATGCAGGATATCGACCTTACCCCCAGGGGTGCAAAGGACAGTCCAGCTGCTGCAGGACGCAGGAAGAGGAGATTGCAAGTTGTGGGAAAGATGCCCTGATCTGCACCCTCAGTCCTCACCTCCCTCTCTCCAGAGCTCTATTTCCAGCTGTTTACAGACTACTATACTTGGTAGCCAACTATATCTGGAAAGTTAACACAGCCAAAACAGAACCTCCTTCCTTGTCTCACAGCCCCCGCACCACCATGCTTTCTGCAGTTGGGCTCAGAAAGCTTCAAGTTGCCTCTTTTTCCCTGTGATCCAATGATCCAAGAGCAGCAGAGTGGCTCTAAGGACTGACTAGCTCCCTTGGTGACGGCCCACTTCCAGCAGGAACCCAGCCTTAGCTCTGCCTGCACCCAGGCTCTCACTCATGTGAGACGGGTTCAAGGATGGGTCCTGGCCCAGAGCAAGGCAGATGGAGGAGCCCCTGTCAGTACCCTGGGGCTCGACACCGAGACCAACTTCTACAGGACCCACCTTCCAGGGGTCATAGTGAGGCAGGAGAGGCAGATGGGTATGCCACAATTCCCCACTGGTCAGTGGGGTGGCACTACAAGGCCCTGAAGGAGTGTCCCGTTCTTCTGGTGTATGCGCACTCCCAGGAGCACGGATTCCACTCAGCTTCCCAGAACCCAAGCTTGGCCCTGACCCAGGCGGCTCAGGTGCCTGGGGATGGGTTCCTAACACTTCATGCCAGACCGCCCCAAGGTAAACCATCCAGCACATATTTACTGAGCGCCTGCCAGGCACTGAGGGTACAGTAGTAAAGAGTGAACTTACAGCAAAGACTAAGCAATCAGAGCCTGCAGTTCAAACCTGGTGTCACCACCCACGGCTATGTGATCTTGAGCAAAGTATTTCATCTCTCTCGGCCTTGGACTCCTTATCCGTAAAATGGGAACAAACAATAATAGATTTAGAGGAAAATGGTTTTGCATTCAATCAAGCACTGATATGATGGAGTAGAATGCAAAATATTGAGAATAATAGAGTTCAAAGCAATGTCACATGCATGGCCAGCAACCCTGGGCTTCAATGACAACCTATGGCGGGGGGACTAGGGGGTGGGGTAATGGACAGAGCCACATTCTGCTCTTGTGTGAGTGGCATGGACTTGAGTGGAAGGGCGTGGAACATTCAGATCTAAATGACTTAGCAGAAGTCTGGTTGTGAGAAGGACATGCCTGCTTTGCACTATGGCTCGAGAAGAGAACAGGCTCCCTTCTGAGAGGCACTTAAAATGACAGAGCGGCGAGGCTCAGAATGTGAATGGCAGTAGTTTCCTCGAAGGCCTCCCCGCGGACATCCTGCCCGCTTCCCTCTTCCCATCTACCCTCCAGACCAAGGCCAGAAAGACTGGGTGAAGATGACCACCTGACGACATCACTGCCCCCATTTAAACCCTTCAGTGGCTGCCAGCTGCACTGAGCAGGAAATCCAAAATCCTTTAAGGGGCCTGTCAAGCCCTTGGTCACGCAGCCCTGGCGCCCCTCCCTCTCTGTGCTGCAGACACCCTGGTCTCTGGCTCCTGAGGCGGCGAGGCTCCTCCAGACTCACAACCTATACACACAGCTTAAGGGGCAGAGGCAGGGTTCTGTGGGGTTGGAGTCTGGGGGGTGGTGTCTGACCCCAAGGCCTCCTAGTTGTCTGCCCACCATGGAATCTCCCACCTGTAAATACAACATGCAGTCCACAGTCACTTGTTAATTATGAAGAGTTTCGATTAAGAGAGAACCCCTCACCTTCCTGAACAGAAGGAGCCGGGAAGACTCCAAAGGAATCCACCATCCCCAAAGTGAACGTCTAACTCATCATCTAAACATTGAGACCCGATGACCCACGAGCTGACCTGTAAAGTATATGCGTGGCCTCGAAGGACATGAGTAATAAACAGAGTGAACTGCATCACCCTGCAGTAGAACCCAGGTCCCTGGGGAGATCACTTCTTCCTCCAGTTTCTACAGCGAATGTCTCAGGATTCTCAAATGCCAGAGGAACAGACTTTGTTTTTAGCCAGTACCACTTCTAATAAGAATAAAGCTCTCAGATGCCAAGCATGGGGCTACGTATACTCTGAAGAACAAGGGCAGATTTAGCTTATCCAGGAAGAGCGTCAGTAGAGAGTCAATTCCAGGTACTTCTTTACAAGGTAATAAAGCTTGCATTACTTTCTTGCTTATATACCACCAGACAACAGGCAGAAATATGTCTTACAGAGATTCACAATATCCCAGTTAGAGTCTCCTTTAGTTATCAGCGATCTGTCACGGCTTCCAATTCATGCGAATGAGAATTATGGTTTGTTGTGCTCTGACTGCTAAGGTTTTACTACTTGGTGCTATAATCAAAATAATCATTTTTAAACAAGGATTAAGCATTCTTTTATTGAAGTATAGTTGATCTACAATGTTATGCTAGTTTCTGGTGTACAGCAAAGTGATTCAGTTATACACATATATATATTCTTTTTCATATTCTTCTCCATTATGGTTTATTACAGGA